TTGGCCGTGGCCAATCTGGGGTGTGGCTGAGACATCTCGGCCGTGGCCAATCTGGGGTGTGGCCGAGACATCTCGGCCGTGGCCAATCTGGGGTGATCATGGGCCCAATACACCGTTTTTTTTTTTTTCCCCCCAAGCCGCTGCGCGGCGCGGCACGGCGTTACTGACCGGAAAAAAAAAATTTACAAAAAAACAAACTTTTTTTTCTCCTTGCAGCCGTAACGCGGCGCGACCGGGAAAAAAAAAAAAAAAAAAAAAAAAAAAAAAAAACCACAACCGATTCCGAACTCCGCCCTGACACCACTGTCGGCCTTGAGTTACGAACACCTTTTCAAACTCAGGCCCTGACACAGTCGCCGAAGGCCTGTTTTTCGTGCCTTTAGGAACTCAAAACATGCCGCGTCCGCCCTTGTTTCGAAAAATAATAAAAAATCATGGCCCCTACGCACAATGATGAGAGACCGACCTACAGGCGAAATCAGCGCACGGAATGAGGAAAGACAATGGGCCTCGCTGCACTACTCTCGAGACCGAGAGTGAATCTTACGCTAGAATACGGAAAGATGCACGGCCATGATTTTTGTCTTTTGTGCATGTGGAGAGTAGTGCAGCGAGGCCCAATGTCATGAAAAAAATCACCCAAAGACACATTGGGCATCGTTAGACACTCGGGCCATCCTCGGGCTCCGAGGATGAATCCTCCAAAAAGTTCAGGGTTTTTGTCGTCTTCGTTACACTCATCCTCGGAGCATCGGTTTTATTATTTTTTTTCTCTTCCTTTCTTCTTTATTTTCCTCTCTTTTTTAAAGGCAAAAGCCTATGCGAAAGTGGCAGCCATTTCTTCAAGAATACATATCAACCACCTTCTTTCTGGAGCCATGGAGGGGACTGAAGCCAAGGGTATAGTGCTACACGAGGGTTTGTCTAAAGGAATAAAAAAAGAGAGGATGCACCAGCCGAAACATACCCCCAGATACTGAATACTAACAGCTAATTACGATCAAGGTTGCCAGTGACACCAAAGCACTTACTAGGAAGAGTTTGAAAGGGAAAAACAATTCTAGAAAATCAAAGATCCATACCAAGGGAGCGGCCCGTCGGACCAGCAGAAAGCCCGGAGGAGCCTGGGTTGCCGTGACTAGGTTTTCCACCTTGTACCCTTGGACCTCTGTAGGAGCTGCCATATTCCAGGCACCCTAGATCTCAATGGGTACAACCCAAGTTTGTACTCGTCGGCTAGATGCTAATCGGTCATCCCCTAAATAGCTCAGCCCTAAGTAGCTCAGCAACGTTGCCACAACTATCAGTAGGAATCCCACTACCCTAGTAGTTCCATTGCCTGTTAAGGATGAGCTATGCTGATCTTGATCCTCTCCTCATTGACAAGTTGACCGTTCTACTTTGAGCGGTTTGACCATCTTCCCGCAAGCTCCCTCCCTTACAGTCCCGAAAATGAACCATAGAACGGATTGTCAGAACCAAGACGAGATCCCAGGAGTGTAGTTAATCATGAGAATAAAGGAAGCTATGGAAGGGGGCATGTATCTAGCCAATACATGCACAGGGATTCCAGATATTCGAGAATGAATCAAGTCAGACTCTACGTTTACCGCCAGAAACAGAAACAACTATAGAATCTAGCCAGCACAGTGGGCCCGATATATCGAACAAGATTCCCAGCATCAATCCTAAGTCCACATACTGAAGGCAACTACATCACGAAACAAGTAGAAAAGTCTTAAGTCTGGGCCCTACCTCATAAGTAATACTCCGTCTTAAACCAGGGCTGCCTTAACTCCCTCTCTCCTCATCCCCGGCAGCAGACTCAAGTCTCACATAGTTTTAGATAGTGTGATCTTACAGAAAAGGTGTGATCCGTCCCGTACTAAATATGAGATGCAAGACAGCTCGAAATTAGAGTAACGAAAGTAAATCAAACCTAAATTTACAGCCAGGAGCAGAAAAACAACAAGTTGAACTGAATCTGGCCTAAAATTCCGGCTACGTGCTTCCAAAGGCAGCTGATATTCCACTGGCCAATATGGTCTCCATCCTCCACGCTAGTCTTCAGGGAAGGTGGATCTGGAGTCGTAACTAGATGCGCGTGAAGAGTGACAAATAACTGACGCTAGCTCTTGGCATGCTTCTCCCAACATCGCTCTCACCGCAACCGTTGGCTCTCCCACTGCCACAGGAAACGCCGAGTTGGAAGTGCTGCTGCCACTCATCAAAATCCCTGTGTCTTGAAGTCATGTTGTCATCGTTTTAAAACAGGTATCTCTATGTGAATCACGATGTATTCAGCCCACGATTGCAGATAAATACCATCTTCTTCTCTGCTTTGTACCCCTGCTCCACAGTCGTGTCCAAGGAGAATCGTCAAGTTCAGTAGCACT